AATAATAAAGAATTGCTTTATCCGAACAAATTTTTGACACATCAACATCACGGCCGTCTGATCCTAACTAGGTAGACTATGTCCTGGATTATGGCAACTAAACTGCAGACACACATACTTATAAATGTCTAAATACAAATGTGTTATATATATTTCACGCCCAGAGAACTAATGATCATATTAATCACACATTATTTATTCTGGGTGGTATCGAACCTACGACCTCGGGTCTGAGGAATACTTTACACGTGGTTGTCTGTTCTCAAACGTGGTAGAGCTTTTCTTGTGGGAACCCCTCTGCTGATAAATATAGTTATTAGTACAAAATACATACACGTGATAGATGAATTATATCCAGACACACAACAAGTAATCGTGCTCGTCACACGTGCGTATTATATGGCTTGGGTAGGAACCACGACCCAGAGGTCTAGACTAAAATGCGCGTCGAATAATTCTGTATTCTTTTTTTTTGTTTTTTTTTTTTGTGTTTTTGTATAGTTGATAAATTGTTTTATAATTTCAATAACTAAAATTGTAGTTAACTTAACAAACTGGGCCGAAGTACATGGTTTATAATAGGAAAAATAAATAAATTAGGTAATTTTTTTTTACTAATATTGTTAAAAAAATATATTACATCAGATTTGTTAAAAAACATGTACATATTCTCAGCTATCTAACAAGGTCTAGTATAGTATTAGAATTCATAAAAAAACTTAGATATCGCCAGGGGTGTTAAGAATTAGCGTACAACCCAGTAGTATCTAATTGGAAACTTGACTTGTATTTTTGGACTATGTCGTTTTCTATTCGTGATTAATTCGTGATTGACAATTCGTGACAAATCAAAGTCCACTTAACGGACTTTGATTTGTGCTCCTGATACTGCTAAAGATGATGTTTAAAATCTATCAGAAATGATGGCAACTACAATCCCTTAAAGTATTTAGGTCGACTTAACCAGTAACCCTGTATATGTGTGTTTATCAATAGTCTGGTTACCATAGCACCGGCTCTGCCTAGTTTAGGTTCAGACGGCCGTGTATTGTGTTAGGTTATTATTATTATCCTCTTTATGAAATATGGTATAAATATTTAGAAACCAGTTTACATCAAAAGGGTAATTTTAGTTAAATCGAACTTATAAATATCAAATTATTTTTAAACATCATTTCCATTAAACTCGAAAGCTAGTTAATCCGCCCGGTTTTGTCCAACTTTTTCCGCTGCACTCAAGCTCAGACCGGACCACTTCCGCCGGATGTGAAACACTTTTTAATTTCCGCTGCGGAGGGATTTTTCTACAGCCAAGTTGATGGGCACTCAATTATTAACATTCAATTAATGAAAATATTTATAATCTGTATAATCTGGATGTAGACCAAATATCGTTTTAAAATAAATACTATTTATAATCTACATTTTTATCAAAATATTTTTTCATCGGTTATCATTTTGTTGCTTTACACATATCTTTTTTCACATCCATACTTATATTAAAATGTGAAAGTGAGTTTGTTTGTTACGCTTTCACGCCTAAACCACTAAACCGATTGTAAAAAATCTTTCACCAATAGAATGCTACATTATTAGCAAGTAACATAGGCTACTTTTACAGCGATCACCGGCATACACGCGGGCGGAGCCGCAGGCAAAAGTTAGTATAATCTAAAAAAGGGGTTTAGGCTAGTTACACATTGTCCTCAAATATAACCAATTAGGAAAAACGCAAAGATCCATCCTTCAGTAACAGTATTTTTCTGTACTTTTTTTGGACATCTCTTCGAAATATACATGAAATGAACACAAAGAACACCCAGAGTCAGAACAACAATTTGTGGATCACACAAAGTGTAGTCCCATGTGGGGTTTGAATTCACAACACTCGGCGTAGTAGCGACCGCTTAAACCGCTTGTTTATAGTATTGGGGGCAAACGAGTTGATGGGTCACTGATGGTAAGTGACTACCACCGCTCATTGAAACCTGCAACTGAAGGGTCTTGCCGTCTTTTGATACCCACTCTCACTCGGTGAAAATCAACCAAAGAATTAATTAACACCGGCTTTTTGTGAGGTATCTTTCTTACCTTTTCTGCATGCTTGACAAAATGTAAAATTTCATGACAGTCGATCGAGCAATGAATACGTGTAAACATAATAAATAGACATATGCAGTTATATTATTAGTTAGAATAAGTAAAATGTATAGCATACATGACGGCCATAAGCGAATAACAGAATTAATTTGTCGAGTGAATCGCAACGGTACAAATTGGAGCAATTAATACGTCCATTAGGTCGTCGGCACGTCGGCTCCTTTGAAAATCGCATGCGCAAATGCTACATACTCTACTGTACGCTTTTATCGTTTGAATTGATTTTGTTGAAGAGAGGTGATTACCAATAGAAAAATCGTTTTTTAAAACACATCAAATTACATTGTCACGACACAGTAAAGAATGTCGCGCTCATCACAATAATTTGTCTTGCGAGCAGTTGGTCCAGTGATCCTAACCGCTGAGCTGGAGATGATGATTCAACTGGGCCCCCCTTCTTACCCTATAGAATGAACTAGAAACGATTTCAAATTTAAATCCGAAAAGTTTAATTGGTATTAAAAGGGAGAAAAAGAAGAAACAGAAGTGATGATTGCTGTAAGCCATAAGTAACGTTTGGTTTTTGTTTTGTTTTATGTTTATACATAAATATACTTTTGTACATGAACATATCCATATCACGGCAGTTTAATAAGAAAAACGTTTTGATTACAGTTAAAACTAAAGTCCATCAAATTATTGTACTTTCCTGTTAAGTAATCATCATCATCAACAGCCTTTCATAGTCCTCTGCAGGACATAGGCCTCTTCAAAGTAGGAGGTTTTGGCCTACTATAACACGCTGACCAGACGGTCTGTTTCAAGTTTTCCTTCTCTTTGCACAACTCTATGTATATTTAAATATATCTATAATGGTATATACTATACCTTGCCAATACTATGCACAAGGTAAATAAATGTCATTTTATTGCATTTCATTTGCAGTGCTGTTGTTCTGCACAGTTTGATCCCTTAGCAGGCTCTTTAGACATCACAGGAAGAATAGGAGTGGTGACACTCCGTATTCTTAATCAGTCACCACAAAGATTTTCCTATTAAGTACGAAATAATATTTCCTAGTAAGAAATCATACTTTCCATAATTAAATCCATCAAATAAATGCAGCACCAGCAGTATTGCAGGCACTAAGAAGTACACTTGTTAGCTCCCTTAGGAGTAAACAAAAAGCAATTAAATAGCACATAATATTTTTATAAAACGCCCGAAAGCTGTTAATACCACAATTATCATTTCATTATCATTTCATACTTATTACAAATGCGCTAAATCACAGCTCTTAAAAAAATCCTTTTTTCTAAAACTGTTAAGTCGACAAATAAAGCTAAAGTCACTCCATTCGGCTCGTACTACTGCCTATTACGGGTAATTCTCCTCAAGTAATGTATGGAACAACATTATGGAAAGAATAATAGAAACGTTAGGGTGGGACAGCCCTAGTATTTGTCACTGGATTTATTACGTCATTGTAGGGTGACCATTTTCATTCTTGAAATTATTAGGCTTCATTGGAATATTATTATTTTTTTATTAAAGGAATACTACTGGTTCCATGGGTGGTTATTATTAGTTAATAAAAGTATTAGTTTATTGACTTTTTAAAAATATTAACCTTTTGCATCTATAACAATAAAGATAGTTAATTTCTTAATAATTGTAAAGATGTTTAGAACTATAAAAATACTAATTCTAAAAATTATATCAATAGGGGTTAATTTTGTTCATGATAAATACAAAATTATGATTTGTGTTAATTTCCATTGCAGAAAATCAATTGAGAACTATTTATATGTAGTCAAAAACCAAATAGATTTGCCAAATGGGTTTTATTAATTATTTCTTTTATGCAAGTAAACTTTCGGAAGCTCTACAAACGACTACTGCTTCCGTAGAGCAGATACGTGCTACGCCGTAGCTGCATATTGTAATCAAACAGCAACAAGAAATATTTTCTAAAGGATGTCGTATTGTAAAATTATAATTTTATATGTATGTTGGTGTATTTCAATTTAACATAAGTTTTTATAAATTTTATGTTTAATGTTTTATTGTGCTTATAATTTGTTTCTATTTGTTTTATCATAAGGTTAACTAAAACAAAATCTTAAAAATTCATTTTTTATATTTTCTGCGTATGATGTTATTATCGCCATCATTGAACATAAACATTATAAAAAAACACACAATAAAAAAGACACTGTCCCTTTCTACTAACAAATTTTGGTCACCCTATTATCAATGTCTCCACCTCATCAATTGCCGCGGACACAGACCGTTCACAGTTCAGATAGCTATAATAACTGGGGATGCGATTTGGCACTCCCTGTGTAATGGTGTGGTACTTCCTGAGGCCACGAAGTTGCCTATTCACTGAATTTTCTGCAGACAATCTACTGGAATTAATTGTAATGAATATGGATTCGAATCACTTACGGTGCTGACTGTACTTTGTTATTCATTTATTTTATTAAACTTGTCATCAAGGGTTTTTTTTTTGGTAGGTATAGTGTAGTTTATGAAACATTTTAACCAACATTTCTTTTCAAGTAAGTTTAAGTTCTTTAATTGTTGAAGTTCTTTAGTTCTTTAATATTTCTCATTTAGGTTGAGTTTTTCGTTTTTATTATTTTCTTTAGTAAGCAAACTATGCCTACTTGGTCCGGTACAATCGTGTTAACAACAGATATGGAATATTTTCTATCATACGAGTGTTTATCACTATTATCCATATATTTAAAACACTAACGTGATCAAATTTCCATTTAGCAGAGTATAGACATTTTAAAATACCCATTATCTTTTCATATTTTCAGCGGGTTACGTAAACTTAAAGGTAATATTGTGTTATGTGGTTATATTTAAGCCAAAAAAAATCTGTAAATATGTATTTGTTCTTAAAATTCTTTTATCTGTTTGTTTGTCCAACAGACACGAGTTACTCGTATCACCCGGCAATACACGATGACACATTCGTTCGTCGGAAGCAGAGGCGCAACCGAACAACATTTACACTTCAGCAGGTAATATTATTTCTCGCGTGATTATCTCTTACTCCATGTTTCTAACTATGAAAATGACGTGCTTCTGAACAATCAATCATCCCTTATTTTAGCCTCTTAGGGGTGAAATTTGGCAAAATCCTTTCTTAGTGAGTGTTTTAAAAGCATGATTTATTCAAAATTTTAAGTTTTCTTTTAGTGCACATCTAGGTCATCTAAGGAACATTTGTGATAAACTTCATACTTCTAGACTCAGCCGTTTCAGCTGTACGTTGTTCGATCAGTCAGTGAAAAAGTCTGTCAGTTGTTGTATAGATAGAGACTATTGATAAATGTATTTGAATCAAATTAAATATAGGCAGAAATAAATATGAATACAGAAATCGAATTTGGAGTTAAGGAATGCGTTGGTCTCTATACTGCGGGTGTGTGAGGTGAGGTTTGCGGGTAGCTCCCGTTTCCTCTTGCTCTATCCATCTCAAATACTGTATAATATTTTCTGTATTAAATTTTTTCATTTTGGTTATCAATACAAATGTTTGTAAATGCAATGTGTTCTCTTTTTCTGTTAATGCAAGTTATGCTATAAGTACCACATTCACACAACGCCATCTAGTCCCAAACTCAGCAGAGCTTGTACTATGGGTACTAGACAACTGATATAAATACATTTATACTTTTTTTTTTGTAAATACATACTTATTATACATAGAAACACCCAGACCAAATCAAACATTAAATGTTCATGCACATAAATGTTTGACTTGAGTGGGAATCGAACCCGCGACCTTTGGAATACCAGTCCGTTACACAAACCACTACGCCATTCGGTCGTCAAATAAGTGAGTTAATACATCGTAAAAAGAAAGACTATGCACAGGCTTGGATTTACTATTTTGTCGTTTTTTTTTTAAGCCATATTATTAAACGTTATTTGTGGTATTTTGTTGTAACGAGTACCATAAATCACATAAGAATAAGTAATTGTGTTGATAAACACTACTAAAGTGTCAGAATATTCATTATTTGTAATTTGCAGTTGGAGGAGCTGGAAACGGCGTTCGCGCAAACGCATTACCCTGATGTGTTCACGAGAGAAGACCTCGCGCTCAAGATCAACCTCACGGAGGCGAGAGTGCAGGTAACTTTAGCCTTTAAGTTATAATAAAAATATTTGATAATAATTTCAATGCTTAGCATAATTAACACATGACTCTTCAAATTAAATACCAGCTGACTAGTCTCTCAAAAGAAATAAATATGCCCGGTTTTTTAAACTTTTGTAATTGTTGCCCCGTTCCTGTTGATCTTAGCGTGATTTTATGTAGCCTTTATATAGCCTCGATAAATGAGTTATCCAACATCAAAAGAATTTTTGCAATTCGTACCAGTCTTTCTTGAGATTATCGCTCCAACTAAAACAAACTTAAAGAATCTTTATAATATTACTATAGATTAGAGATGCGTTAATAAAATCAATGACGTAGAAATTAGATAATAATGGTCACCGGTTAAGAAACAATTTTCGTTCCTGGAATATAAAGATACATATTTAAGAAAGAAGATAAGGAATGAAATGAATCTATTTTCTTTTAGTTTACTTTTTCACTGTCAGTTGAGTTTTTATTTTTCAATTCGGTTTATCGTTATTATATTATATTATTAAGATTGACTAAGTATTGAAATTTAATCCCATCTTCGCAAATCATATTCAACCTTGAAACACATAAAATATAAAATTTAAGGTTGTGTGCACGAGACACGTTGCCTGTCTGTGTCAATAACATTCGCGAGGCACGGTACCTCTCGTAAAACGTATCTTCATTGCGTAATGTTAGGTGACACTCAAATTTGAGTGGCGAATACTTTTAGAATTTAACTGTACAGATTTGTATTTGATGTTACAAACATTATGAAGAAAGTTTTTTTTTATGGTATAAGGGGGCAAACGAACAGACGGGTCACCTGATGGTAAGCAACTACTGCCGCCCATGGACACCTGCAACTCAAAAGTCACAAGTGCGCTGCTGCTCTTGGAGTCCCTCCCGCTCGAGTCAGAGGGAGGAAAGAATCGTGTGTAGAAGATATTTATTTGCTCGCTACTCGTTATCTCTACTACTCTCTATAAATGAAATAACTAAATAAGTATTTTAATTAAAAAAAACATAAGACGTTTCCAGAAGAAATGAACAGATAAAGGCAGCTTTATATAAAATATGGATACATAATATAAACCTTTTTTAGGTATACATAAATACACATTTTATGAAATCAGTTCACATTTTAATTTGCATTCAAATTTATTATTATTTGGTAACTAATTTCATATCTTGAATTGAAAATACAGACTTTAAAAATCAATCCAATTGCTTCACGTCAATGGCACGTAAGAGTAAACGATATTGGACTATATTACCTTTCATACATTCACCGTTCACTAGTTTAATATTGGCGGGAGTGCTCGACTAACCCGACACATAAAGTTGGCTACTGTTGGGTCTAAAAACCTTTTTGTAGATTGATCGTTATTCTCAAACGTGGAAAAGGAAGACATCATTTTCTTACAATAATTCGCTTAGTAGTTTTTCAAAACAAGTTTAAGTAAGTTTGAGTATTCTAATGAATGAAATATGATTTCACTATCATGTTTTTTTTCTACAGCTAATGTTACGAACGATTATACTAGTTGGAGGAATGGCGTTTGAGTTAAAAATAAGTTTAAATGTTACTCCTAAACTTAACAACATAACTACACAGCACACAATGATAATAAAGACATAGAAAATTGAAAAAAAAAACTAGCGTATCTTAGTAATGGCTTTTTAACACATTTATAAGGTTTTAACACAGATTTCAGGTATTTTATATACTTGACCTCTATTTTTTGTGTAGTTATTCTAAAATAAAGTGTTCAATGCACCTAAAGTATTAAAACATTTACCTGTTACTTCATGGAGGTTATGCCCGGTTCGTGAGCAGGATAACACAGCCGGTTTTAGTCAAATTGCTCTGCGCTACCGGTCGTGTTTTATTTATGCTCAGATAAAAATTGGCCCATTCCGTCTGCTGCACACGAATACAATTTGGTAGAGCTTGTCACGCGGAACCTTGTTTTATTTGAGTTATCTTCTTTATATATATAATTCTTCTGTGAGTGTGTATGTCACTGAACTTCTCTCTAACGACTGGACCGATTTTGATGAAATTTTTTGTGTGTGTTCAAGGGGATCTGGGAATGGTTTAGATTCACAATTTTGTCCGCTGGACAATGTTTTTTTAATTAATTTTTAATTTATTAGTAGTTGTTGATTTTGGAATGTTTTACATTGGATCAGACAGACGGCGCTACCATCGCAGTGTCAAATTTGACAGGACAACGTCTGTCGGGTCCGCTAGTTGTAATATAATAATAATGGTTGTTTAAAATATTTTTTAACGTAAAGTATTTAAAGATATATACCACCACGGCCTCACAGTAAACCGGTGTTAAACAGGTCTTTCGTTGCTTTTGACTGTAATTGAATGAAGTTAATTAGTCATTTAGTTTTGTTAGTTAGTTTAGTTCACTTTCTATCAACATAAAAGCCCCGAGCCTAAACCCCTCTAAATTCTTTTGAGTGGGACTCAAAGGGCGACAACGAACTTGCGAATCTTAGTTACAGGTTTCCATGGGTGGCGGTAGTCACTTGCCATCAGGTAACTCATCTGCTCTTCATAAAAAAATCTCGTAACCATGTGACAGTAGCATCAGCATGTTAACTAACTATACTTAATTGTAGGACGTCGCCGTTATTAGGTCTACTGCCGTAGAAGCTTTTCAAAGTGCAATGTAGACACAGAAAGTACAGCCTACTAATATTTAGAACCATTTGAGTATTGAGTCATCAGCTTACCAGACCGAACCGAATTCAACTTTGACATTTTGAAGTTGTGAAAATAATTACAGTCGCATATCAACGTCATCATTGAGCGGCCATATCTCTAACACACAATCGACGTGCCAAATAGACACGTAAGACAATATCCAATTTTGTTCGTCCAACGTGTCGAACATCCACTTCCATTAGTTAACTACCATTGTCAAAACCCACTCTAGTCTATTTCGTAGCCAAAACCACCAAAACAGTTGAGAATTGAACGTGTACGCGTCCATATAAGATTGGCCCTCAATACTTAGTTCAATTGTACCGATATCGTTGGTGAGGAGGGACGAGGGAGGTCGAGTTACGGTGGTGTTCTGTAACGCGTTTAAGTCGCTCATCTCGGAATGGTATTACGGTATGAGGCTGTTACCTCGTCGCCCGCACTCTCCTCACCCCCGCTCACACCTAGTGAGACGTGCTGTCAAACCCAAGGGTTGTCGCTAGAACATATTTAAGTAATTTCATAGAATATACGTCTTAATTGTATAATATAGTAAAGCCTTTTTTACAAGGACTGCAAGCTAGTTAATATTTTATGTAATCAAAAAGTTTTCCTTATCTCCTCGTGATTATGCAGTGCTTGCACAATACACGGTTTTAATATGTATTAAAATTATACAATCGATTTTAAAAAATAATTTGGCATCTATATATATTTTAATTCTAATAATCAGAAAGTGTTTATTAAAGGTTTCGATATGAAAATCCAATGGCAACACTAATCAGTAATAAAAATATAAATAAATTAAAGCAATAACCACGGAGACAGCCCTAAAAGAGCTTGGTAATATAATTGAGTCGGCTTTCAATTTGATTCGCATCCTCGTCCGGCCGGAGAGTGTCGGTGATAATTCGCCCGAAAAATATAAAAAGGAAGCTTTGGGAGCAGCTGGCCGCCATATTGGATTACTGCGAGTGAGGTGGGTGCGAACACTGCGTACAGAGGAACGTCAGCTCAGCGTGCCGATGAACCATCAGTATATTCTATAGTTTTAATACGATTTTATTGTAATATTGTTTATTTGTAAATGCGTTTTTTATTTACATTATATTCTTAGTATCTCATTTCTGTATTTCTTCACTGTAATGAATAACACTGCTAATCCTACAATTAATGACATTTTTATCCAAACAGGCTATTGGAAACAGAAAGAAAGCAGACTAATAGAACCTGAGACTATCGTACATAAACAAAAGAGAAAACGATAAACACACGTGTTGACTTATCTAAACCGCAAAATAATTATAATATATTGGGAGACATTATAAAAAATTAAAAAAATGTTTATTTATATAAAATTTTAAGAATGGTAACATCTCAAAACTCTGTTCTTTATATTTTCAATGTGTGTTGCATTGTATAATTATGTATCTATGTATGCAAATACTATAGCATTATAGCTTTAAATGGATATACTAGAGAGGTGACTTTTTCTAGAGTGATCTTACCCACGTTTCTGCTCTTTTTAGAGTACTTTAAATGTTCATTTATACTTGTTATGAAAGGTCTTGTCATGTACCTATAAATTTCGTTGAAAACAGAAGACTATGATATCGTAAATGTAAAGTTAAAGTGGTTTTTTATTTTATTTAATTATTTATTTAATTTAATTTTACACATGCAACTTTTTTTTTGCACATTTTCAATGATCTATTAATTACAAAAACAACGAAGCCCTCTTTAGTAGGCGGAATAGAACGGTATGAAAGAAAAATAAAGTGTCAACATACGAAAAGCTCAAAATTGTAATTCCCTCAATAATGCAAAGCACTCGTGTAAAACAATAGGGTTGTCAAGCGTTAAACACGACGTCACAATGGTACTTAAACGCTCAATAGGGCTATACTTAATTATTATTTGTTTCTATTTCAAGTGTGTTCGCAAAATTGTTGAACGTGTTTGTTGATATTTTTACGATGTTGAGAACTATAAACAGTGGAGTTTTTTTTTTATTTATACCATAGAGGGTAATAAGAAGTTACTGCTTACCAACCCTCTCATCACTTCTATTGCCGTTTACATTACACAAGTTTATTCTTAGCGAGATTTTATGTATTTAATGTATGTGGGTCTAATTTAAGATCTTTTAAAGTGGTTTTTGTGTTATCTTTTTGAAAATAAACTATTATTATTTTTATTGAAGATACCATATTTTTGAATAATCAAACATGAATTTAAAACTTCATTAATACAATAATGACTTACTGCTGGGCGACA